AAGCTTAATCAATGGCAAAACATATAATTTTATAACCTAACTCCAGTATGGGGAACAAATGTCACAACAATATTAATGAACTTATTTGCAAAAGGCAAGTAAACAGTCCTCACCCAATATAGTTACAAGGATTTCAAAAAAGAGAGACACTAGGTACAAGATCAGCTTCCACAGCATGAAGAGATCTTCTTAATCTTAGGGCAGCACCCTGCTGCCAAAGATAGTTTTTACCTTCCTAAAAAGTAGTTTCATGTGCAAATGGCCCAGTATTTTGTCAGACAAAATGAAGTCTGCACTATGTTAAGAAAGATTCTGGAGTCCGAAGAATGTGAGAGTTTGTGTATATTTTGCAGCAAATGTTACTAGAAAGCCTACATATTTTATCCAGTTTTAGTAAAAACCAAACTTAATAAGTTTTTATAGTTTCCTTAAAGCCAATACATAAACAATTCCAGGTTTTCTACTCTGCTTTGAGAAGCTGCTGCGCAGTTGAGAATATTTATCAAAGGAACACATGACTGGAAGTAAACCACTTGGTTTATCCTGTTTCAACTTAAAACTACTTAAGCTCATATCACCGTGCAAACACTTTCTGGAAAACTCTTCTTGAGCTACACTGTTTTACCTGTTGGAAATCATCTTCTGATTTCCAGTCTAGACCTTTTTCATGGCAGCTCTTACCCACTTGAACAAATATTGGTTTTAACTTGTACAATTTTTCTAACTTGGTACTGTTTCTCATCTGATGCATTGATGGCAAACCAACGTATTCCCCCCTCAGTTATTAAGTTGTTGTGCTTCCTGTTCTTAAGACCTTGTACCTGACTGTCGTTGGCTTTGCCAGTCACGAGTTCTCTGTCCCTGTAGCTCCCAGAGTGCTCCTGCTCACTGCTCGCACGTGCATCCCCATATCACTCCAACCAAATCACTACTTACTGCCCTGCACTGGCACCAGTGCTCCATAAAACTTCCCGAAGTGCAGAGGAGGGAATCCTGGCCACTCCTTCTCAGAACAGTAAGTTACTGCAATGTTGGAGAATGGCTTCACGTGTTACAAAAACGTCTCGGTTGTTTCTCATAATTATAATGAGAGGAATGTAGTTATTCTCTATAGTAATGTATTCAATGCATCTGAAAGTCCTGTAGAACTGCAGAAGGAAGGTCGCATCTCAAAACCCAGCAAATATTAATATCTTGTAACTATGTACAAGTTGCTGAGATACTTCCCTGAAAATAAATGATCAGAAAGTATTTAACTTATATATCCGTATAAAGGAGAGTACATAAACAAGAAGGGTAATATATGGTATTGTGCTTTGGGTTTGTGCCTCAGTGTTGACAACACACCAGCTTTTTGGCTGCTACTGAGCACTGCTTGCACAGTGCCAAAGCCTTTTCTTTTTCCCACTCTGCCCCCCCAGGCAAGTGGGCTGGGGGTGCGCAAGAAGCTGGGAGGGGACACAGCTGAGACACCTGACCCAAAATGACCCAAGGGATATTCCACACCATATGACGTCATGCTCAGCATATAAAACTGGGGGAAGAAGGAAGGGGGGGACATTCAGAGTGATGGCGTTTGTCTTCCCAAGTCACCGTTACGCGTGACGGAGCCCTGCTGTCCTGGAGATGGCTGAACACCTGCCTGCCCATGGGAAGGAGTGAATGAATTCCTTGTTTTGCTTTGCTTAGGTGCGCTGCTTTGCTTCACTTACTAAACTGTCTTTATTTGAACCCATGAGTTTTCTCACCTTTGCTCTTCCAGTTCTCTCCCTCATCCCATTGTGGGGGGAGTCAGCGACCAGCTATATGGACACTTAGCTGCTGGCCAGGGTCAACTCACCACAGTCACTAAAGTATTTTCAAATGTGATAATATGCACAGAGATAGTGGCCAGACAGTTAAAAAGAAGAGATCACAGTTGATACAATAAACTGCAGAATCAGTTTCAACATGCTGATTTAGCCAGACAATAACAATTTTTCCTTTATGAGCAGGACAGTGATTAGAAGTTGAGATACACGTGAATTGAACAGTAACTAAAAGCACATGGTCTTCTTGTCTTAATATATGTATCAAAAGTAAGAAACTCCCATTTGGTACCGAAATATCTAAGAATGTATGAGTGCCAAGATTCAAAAAAGCAGCATGTATCTGTGTAAGCAAGCAGGACGCTTATTAAGACTTGGATAAATCAAGTACTATAAATTAGCTGAATGTTGACAGGCTTATTATTAAAAGATATTATTTTAAGTGTAATTGAAAAGTATGTTTTAACTTTTATTCTTGCAGCTCAAACTATATGTAAAAAAAAGAATCAGAAGTAAAACTAGAAAGGAAAGGAATCCATCTATATATCACTTTTCTTCCTATAAGGAAAACTTCTTTACAGTTTCTAAAGGTATGAACTGTAAATAGAGGTAAACATTAAGTTTTTTATGTTACTGCTTACTGCTCAACTTTAATAGGCTTTTCCTGATAGCATTCTATATTTGATAACCTTGAAATAAAATAATATCATTAAACATCCACATCTTTAATTTGAAAAATTTCCTAAACACTGTTACTTTGAGGATCATAGAAATGCGTGGATCAGATTCACACGCTCATGTGGAACCAACAATGAGTAGTACACAACAAATCATTTCCTTTTTAACCAGTCCTAAAAGCCTTTTACTTTCCCCTAACCACCAACCAATTAATTTGCCTACCACTTGCTGGCTCTGGGACAATGCTCCCATAACCCCCTCCCACCTAACTCAGTCATTAACTAGGTTAGGGGAGCATTTCCCTTGTAAATGAGTCCCCTAAGCATTTTTACTTTTTTCCCCCACCAAAGAGAGAGCAGAGCATACTTATTTTACTTTGTATGCAACGGACAGTATTTCTCTTTAAATATAAAAAAGGGAAACAGACCCCAATATCACTGTGAACAGGTAAAAATATTTTTGCCTGCACAGAAGTAACTGATAAGGGAAAGCTTTAGCATGTGTTAAAGAAAGGAGTAATTAAAGTATTATGGCACTCCACTTTATAAACTGATGGTTCTGACTCTTTTCAAGTAGTGCCCTTAGTTTTGTTTAACTCATCTCAGGAGACAAATAGTAGAAACAGAATGGATCCACCATAAACAGGAGGTCAAAATAATCACACACCCATTCAGCTTGGACTTTAACTCCTGAGCACAATTAAGGCTGAGATTTATGCAATTTTAGAAAGGAGCATGAAGAATCACCTGAAGATAGGGCTCACCTGAGTCATTGCAAAGCTTACTTGAGTAGCCATGAGACCAGCTAGAATTGGCCTTGCCAGTTGGAAAGTGTGAGCAGACATACTTTAGCGATGCTAACAATTAAGTCACGTAACGACAAGCTGTGTTGGAGATGCTGGTCACTAAGGCAGATATTGGATTAGCAATTCTACTTAATGATCACAGTGGGTTTAAACGATCTGCTGGTCTGTAAAGTAGAGTGGTTTAAATAATAAATCCATGAGCTAATCATTAATGGCTTGCATAATGTCACTTCTAGATGAGAATTTCCATATCATGTAGAAGGGCAATGAATGGAGACATTTTCAAATTAGGAAGGATGACAACAATTAAGGCCCTTATTAAATAAAAAAAAAAAAGATGCAACAATAGATGATATGACAAAGGCGTGAAATACAGAGAAGGACAGAGAAGGCATATACATGACTTCTTTCTAAACTCTATAAAGAGATCAAAAGAAAAAATGAAATGTATTTCAAGATATCAGAGGAGATGAAATGTCCACAGAAAATGTTCCCTCTGCAAAGCACAGCAGTCCTCTCTGCTCCCTTTGGCTCATATTGATGACATCAACATGAAGGGAAGTTTAAGAACCAGCTTGAGTCTAAGACTTTCTATTAGAATCTCTTTTAAAAGGGCAAACTACTTCATTTTTAATGAAGGACAAGTGTTAGCAATCAGCAGGAGAACTATCGAAGAAAAAGAAATTAGTACTGAATTGTCTCTGCTGTTTAACATAAAAATGACACTACTGGTACAGACCAAAAAGTCCATGAAGTCCCGTATTCTGTCTGCTAGTGGGTAACAGAGGACATCAAGAGCAGAATTGAATGGCACATTTTTGCCAGCATCATTTTTTGTGCAATTGCATTAAAATTTTGGAAAATAACAATTTGGGTGGAAAAAGAATTAATCATAGCAAAATTAAGAAAGAAGTCTAGAAATAGACTGTACAAATATTTTATATATGAAATGAAGGCAGAATTAAATGTTTAAGACTAACTGCTACTGATAAATTGAGAAAATTACATAAAAAACATAAAAACATTTTTGACATGCAAATTCACACACTATTGAAATTGTCACTCTAGTTTCTAAATAGAGAAACAGTTCAGTTTAAAAGATGAATGATATGACCATATTAAATATCATCATGAGGATTCAGAGTTAAGAAGGGAATGTTAAACTTCTTAGCTTGCAACACGTAAGTTTTCCAGTTTTCACAAGGATAAGTGGCAAATATTTTAGAAAAATACGCATTTTTTCCACCTACAATTTTCTGAATTTAACACATTGCTATTTGTGAATGTAACAAGTATCAATTCTGTATTAAATGTATCTGCTTATCAATTAAACAGTTACATTTTACAAATAAAAAAGTGTTAAAATATTAAAATAAGTTCTGTGCTATACAGCTGAAATCTCCCTGATCAGTATAGGTTTGCAAAAGTTACTCATTTCTCTTTAAAGCACTATTTAAGGGCAATATCAACATATATGCAGGTCTCAGACAGAAAGAACGTTATTAGGTTCCTCAAAATAGGAACTGAAAACCATCTTTGCATGGATCAAATACACTAGACAGTAAGTATCTCCATTTTAAAATTGAACATTTAAAAATAAATGTATAATTTATTTTATAAATTTCACCAGTAAAATCTTTGTGTATTGGCTATTATAAAGTAAAAAAAACAAAACAGGGAAGTGCAATTATTTGCCAAAATCCCATTACCTGTGTGCCAGCAGCACCCTGAAGGTCATCTGATTCAGTCCCAAATAACTTGGCAGCAAGTTTGACCAATCCCAGTTCCATTCAGTAATGGCTGACTGTTGATACATGGCAAGAAGCTATTGTTAGTTATTAATCAGTGTTAATATGATCAGTAAATTAAAGCTCCAGCTGTGATATACTAACCAAGAAGGAGGGGGGTCTAGAACAAGGACTTAGACAGATGATATCAATCATGTCCACAAGAGAAGGTTTTTATTCCAATAACACAGCAATTAATTTATAAATCCATTTGGGGATGTAGCCATTATTTATAAAAAGATAAATCAATTTTTTGAACCGTTATTCTTCCAACTGTTAATGGCGTTCTGCCCAACCACTTTGTCTAAAAGCTTGACTCTTTGTTTGAGAAGCAAAATAATTGGCAACTTTTTATGTAACAGCAATTTACATTTTCTGCTGTCAGCAAAAAGTTTGTCATGAAAAACTTGGTATAGCTGGAATTCAAGATGTAACCTGTACAGTAATCAGAGTGATCGTTTACTTGTCTATTGTTTTGTAAGGCACACCAGTCACCAGATGGCTATTATAAACAGCAGTAAGTCTAGACAATATGAACAAATATAAGTCCATATTGCTTATTTAATAAATAAAAGCAATCTGCAATAATGGTGGGCAAACAAAAGACCACACACAACACTCTTATGTTTACAAAACAGTAACTCCTGTTGCATAATATTAATTTCCATTGTCAGTAATGGTCAAGTAATGACTACAATTCAACATTCTTGGGAGGAAATAATTCAAAAATTATTGTTGTAACACTAAAATAGCACTGAGTAGTTTAAAAAAAAAAAAGATGAAGCAAGTCAAAACAATGGAAATAAACCTAAATAAGAAAAGTAAAGTATATCTTGCAGTGCATCTTTTTCTCCTTACAGACAGCACTTAGTTCTTCTGGGAGAGCAGAATCAGTGCAATCCCTCCCCTTCCTTCCATCTTTATTTTATTCCCTTCTTTCTTTTAATTTAATTTTCTCCCTGACCCTCATCTTTGGCATGCACTTAAAATTAATGTAGAAAAATAAAGGTGAAATACAGAATAAGAAAGGGAGACAAGGGTAGCGAAAGAAAGAATAATATAGTGTGAAAGTGGAAAGTGAATGAAGAAGTAAAAGTGAACATCTGATAAACAAGAAATAAGGGAAAG